AAAAAAAAAAAAAAACATTTTCTTTTCTCTAACTTACTTTATTGTAAGAATACAGTATATAATACATATAACATACAAAATATGTTAATAGACTGTTTATGCTATTGGTAAGGCCTTCTAGTCAATAGTAGGCTTTTAACAGTTAAGTTTTGAGGGAGTCAATATTTATATATGCACTTTTGACTGCACAGCCCCCCCATGAGTTCCCCAACCCTCAAGTTGTTCAAAGGTCAACTGTATATAAATAAATAGGCTTATCCTGATCCTTCTTACCAATTGGAATAAATAAATGTTCTACAAGTAGAAACAAAGATAAAAAAGACCTTTTCCTTGATTAAGGGGAAGCCTGGTAACCTCCCCAAACCTCACAAGGACAGTGTAAAAGTTTTATCACCTAATCCCCCTGAGGGGCATGTTGAAATTACAGCAGGACCCATTCTCTAGCACAGGCAGTGGTGGCCAGCTGCGTGTGGGGACACTGACACCAACCACTTACTCCCAAACACTCTGTCCCATGATTCGTAAACACTTAGTGCCAGAGCCATTTTCTCATTTGGCTCTATTCAAAATGTCACCAAAAAACATCAAATACATGGATTGCACCATCATTAGATGCCCAACATAGGCCACATAAGCAACCCACTAATTTACATCATATGAAATTTATGTCTGAAGTTCAAAGTCAGTTTTGCTTAAAAAACAAAACAAAAAATTCCTAGTTGTTTCAAAGTCCTACACCTATTATCTATCATGGCAAAAAGTATGAATGCTCTAAAGCAGGTTAAGATGAAGCCTGAAGTTAAGAACCCCAATTTTAGTAGGGCCATAATTAGTGTATTTGCACTTCGTGATTTTCAAAGGAGGGTCAGACAGCATGGTAAGCTGCTATGACATGACATAAAACGCTGAACTTGTAGTTGTGATAATAAGCACATCTTTTCCTTTTCTTTCTAATTAAGGCTTTCATGGAAACCAGACAACACATAATTAGTAAGCCATGCCTCATGCTGTTTCTTTTTTTCTGCTTCACTGCCACTTTAAATGTACTTTTCAGGTCCACACTGAATAAGTGGTCAATTTTTCTGGCAAGCACTTAAGACAGGCTAGAATCTCCTATTTATTACCTAACAACATTTCCCAAATAAATATTCCCTGTGGTTTTCCTAAACTACTTCCTTGACAACAAATAAACAGAGACAAGGTGTTTTTATGCCCCTGTCAAGCGGAAGTAACAGAAGAAAACTAGACTTCAAATGTAAGACAGTATTTCTTAGTTTACTTTACATTTACTCATATCATCCCATATATATACATCTTAATTTTTTTTAAAAAATCAATGACAAAAACTAATTCATATGCTTTTCTTTTTTCTTTCTTTCTTTTTTTTTTGTGGAGACAGAGTCTCATTTTGTCACCCTCAGTAGAGTGCCATGGCATTATAGCTCACAGCCACCTCAAACTCTTGGGCCCAAACAATTCTCTTGCCTCAGCCTCCTGAATAGCTGGGACTACAGGCACCTGCCACAACACCCGGCTATTCTTAGAGATGGGGTCTCACTCTGGCTCAGGCTGGTCTCCAACTCCTGAGCTCAAGTAATCCACACACATCGGCTTCCCAAGTGCTAGGATCACAGGAGTGAGCCACTAAGCCCAGCCCAATTCATGTTTTTCATCTCAATATTAACTAACCCCAAATGAGAATTATACTCTTGCAACATTATGTTAAAAACTATTACACCCAATGCCTCAGTGAAACGGGTAGGAGACAGGCCTGTCGACTGCAATTCTTCTGTACATACACAGCATAAGTCTCCAGTACCTGTCTTTTTCTTGAGAAATGAACCAACTTAGCAGTTGAGGAAGTGCAAGAAATCAATAGATACCTGAGAACCTTTTACATGGAGGGTAAAGTTCCAGGCACTGGGGCTACAACAGTTATAACTAGGGCTACAGCAAAGTGGAGCTGGGCCCCACCAGGGAAGGGTGGGAAGAGACAAGTAATAATGTGACAGCCATAAAGCGGTGGTTCTCCAAGTGCTGTCCAGGGACACGGAGGTTTCTAAGATCTTTTCAGGGAATGCACAAGGTCAAAATTATTTTCCTAAAAATACAAAGACCTTCTCTGTTTGTTTCCCTTTCATCTTCTCACAGGGTACAATGGTGTATTCCAGGGGTTACATAACAGATTTACCTAATTCTCATATATTTTCAGACATAAAACTGCAAGAACTACCATCATAAAGTAGGAAATGTATTATGTATGATGTTACTGAATTACAGAGTAACTGTACCCAAAGAATCTAGGCCAGGAAAGGAGAAAAGGGAGACAAAATGACCAATTAAGCTGAAGAAAACCTACAGGATAAAACCTGGGTGAGTGCACAGTAAGCAAAATAGTAAAGGGGAAAGAAATACTAAGGTTTATACGAGAGAAATAACATTATCAAGTAAAACTGCAAAAACAGGCACATAGGAGTGAGGCAGAGGGAGTCGTGAGAGCTGCAGGAGAGAGATGAGGCTGAGAACTACCCAGGGACCAGCTTCAGGAAGGCCTTGAAACACAAGGTGAGAAATTTAGATTTCATCCTATAGGTAAAGGGAGCAACGTGGAAAGTGGATCTGGACGAAGAGGACAAAATGGTCAGGAAATCAGACAGATGTCATTTACAGGTGCCCCCAATAAGGTTGGCATGGACAACGTTAAGGGCACCGGCAATAAGAACAATGCTTCAAGAGATATCTGGCAGAAGAAGGGGCAACACCTGGTGGTGTCCTTATGTGAGGAGTGAGGCAGAGAGGGTTAAAGACGACATGATTTTCTGACTTGGGCAAGTAAATCTCATTCATTAAGACAGAAAGAGGTTTTTTTAAAAAAATAAATTTGTGTCCAGACATACTGAGTTTATTTGTGGAAACACTAAGTCTACCATCCAGTTGAGAAAAGCAGATCTGGATGAGAAGAAACTGAGCCGGAGATAGAGATTTGAGAGTCACTGAGACCAGGGAAGCGAATGGACGTTTCCAGGAAGATGGAGCCTGAAGAACAGTCAAGACAGGGTGGTCTGCTGAAGAGATTGACACATGACCAGAGAAGCAAAACGGGGTCCAGGTAAGGGAAGATGAAGAAGCCCGGGAAGAGGGAAGCAAATGCCAGCTGGCAGGAAAGTGAGGTCACTACTGAAAACACCCACGGACAGAGCCACAGTGCAGTCTCAGAGACCTTGGCAGTTTGGGACCCTAGAGAGGGCAGAAGACAAACTGAAAAGAGGAAAAGCAATTTCTTTCAACAGTTTGCTCTGAAAGGGAAGCTAATACAGTGAACCAGAAGGCTGAGGCTATCAGAAGGGACTTTATGTATTCACTTGCTCAGCATAGAAAAGATGTGGGCATTTTAAAACATTAATAGGAAGAAGACAAAAAGGAAAAATACAAAGATAAAAAATGCTGGATAAACCCAATTTTCAATGACTTTATGTCTGGGTAAAGGAATAAAAGTTATTTTTTGTTTGCTTTCCACATTTCTAGACTTTTTATACTATGTACAATGACACGTATTATTTACCTATTTTGTAAATCAGAAAAAAGTACACACAGAGGCTTCCAAGTAGCTTTGGGGAGAACAGCTGTTCTAAATTCTGTACTTTGACTATAGACAAAATATCTGAGTCTTGCCGACAAATGCAGGCAAAATAGGCCAGTAGATCAGAAGCAGCCTGTAGATTCTGACAGCCCTGGAAATGACATTTGGCTGCAAAAACCATAGAACTATAAAACTGGAAAGAATGATAAAAGCACAGCAAGTTAGGGCTATTTGGAGATAAAACAGTCATGTACTTCAAGAGGGCTGGAAAGCACCGTGGCCAGCACTGAAAGGGGCACTGGGAATGACAGACCAATTGACGACGAAGATTATAATACAGAATTACAGATTCAAGGCTAGAAGACACCTTAGGTAATCTAATGCATTCATTTTATCAATCAGACAACTCAGATCTTATGTAACATGTATTTACTATACGTTGAGAATGCAGGAAAACAGGTAATCTGAGCTCTATCAAAAGTAATGATAAACAATGAACACGTGGACACCACCTGGGTGAAGGGTGCACTGAGAACTGGGCAACACAGTAAGATTCCCCATCTCTACAAAAAAAATTAAAAAAAAATTAACTGGGCACGCTGGTGGATGCCTATTGTTCTAGCTATTCCTTGTGCAGAACTGAGGCTAAGGCAGAACTC